ATGCGATGTTGCCCGACCTTAATCTGGAAAATAAACTCTAAAGCAGCGTTAAACTTGTACGTGTTTGTAGTCTCTTTTCATCAGTTTATTCCCAGAGTCGTACGTCATGTACAATGTACGTGCGTACGAAAGCGCGTACGCACGCTAGCGCCCTCATTTGTTTAGTTTTGGTTGGAACCGTGACGTCACTCCAGTCAACCGATGTCGCGAAAACGCTCAACCAATGACCAAAGCCGAAACGTGTTTCTGGTAACTGGCGCGAAAACACGCTCGGTCATTGGATTAGCGACCGCGCCTCAAGTAAGTGCGCGTGCGTATGAGGGTGGTTACTAAGCAAATCGCGCGTGCGCACTGCATATTCATGCTGCATAGTCTGGCCCCCGGACCAGACGTGATATGAGCGTCGAGAATAATTGCCCGGTCTAGGGAACCAGACTACACGCTGCACAGACGTACATCATGTACATGTACGACTAGAATAGACTCGGCGGTGAGAAACTGATGAAAAGAGTCTACAAACACGTACAAGTTTAACGTTGCTTTCGAGTTTATTTTCCAGGTTAAGGTCGGTCAGCATCGCATATGGAATTCCTGAACCCATCAGCCCAACAGATAAGGACACATAGAATACTACGACGTAAAAATTAGCTTCTCCAACAAGGTAAAAATATTGAAATTATTGGTCAGAAATGTTTTCGTTCGGTTTTGAGCACTTTTTACCCAGGACTCCCTCCGTAACGTAGGGAGGAAAGGGAGTCCACCAGGGCTACACTCCAATATGCAATACACATCAATCATGTAAGCAACTTACACTCCAATGTAAGTAAAAAACGCCAAATGTGAACACTCGTACGCCTATGTAAGTAATGCACGCAAATGTAAACGATACACGCTGTTAAGCCTTAAAGAGGTTGTGGAATGCTCGTAGACATTTCCGTCATTTTTTGGGTATATGTAGCCTAAGGTGTGATCGGGAGTCCTGTTTATTACGTCACTATTTACACTGTTTTGTTTGCTGCTCCCAACGACGACTTTTTCACAAATAGCACGTTCGGGTCGAAGTACGTACGAAGTCTGAGCGGCGATTTGGCGAATATAAATGTTTGTTTCTGTTTATATTACCTTCGCATAGTACGGTATCATTTCGGTTTTTTTTTTCAGGCAAATGGTATTGGGAGTTCATGCTGAAAACAGCTTACCATTTAAAATTGCTCCAGTTATGATCGGACACATGAATACATGCAAATCAATGAACATGCATCCTCTCCAAATAACATCAGTTTTCACTACCCATATTCACTTTTTCTACGTTACAAAAAATAAATACATACTGACATTGATCACTACCTAAAAGAAACATTTTTAAACAAAATAATTAATTTTATCAGACAGGTTAAATTTCGTTATCCTTTGTACATGTTCTTACATAAAAAAATTCATAACTTAACTGGACAGTGTTTCATAAAATAGTTGTCTACCCGACCACTCTGCGTTTGTAACAACAAACGCGAAGCTCTAGTTATACTCGTAATTGTTTTAGCTTCTAGACTAATCAAAAATGAATGAGACATATAATTTAGGGCATGCAGCATGTATTAAACCGATAACTGAAATTGTGCGAATTATCATTATGGCCCAAAGTAGGTGGATCTTCTTCGTTTGTGACCAAGCGATCGCTAGCTTTAAAGTATTCCGCTAACTGAAACGAATAATAAGTCAACTAAAGTTAAGAGAAATCAGTGTCGTAAATCTGTGCCGCCGGCGAGTGGGGGGGGGGGGGGGGAACCCTAAAATTTCCCGGTGGTGGAAATTTGGAAGCGGGGGGGGGGGGGGGGCAACACATCATAGGGGCCTAGACAACACATCATAGGGGCGCTCTTCGGGATAAAGATGTATATCAATATACTCGCGCTTACCGTAACTTTTTAAAGCTTTCGCACTTTGTTTCTCCACTTTTCAGTGCTATTGAATACATTTAAGTTGTTTTTAGTACCTCAAAATACGCATTTTTTTCTCTCTCAGCACAAAAAAGTGGTTGTTGGGGGGGGGGGGGTGATTCAATCGCCCATCCCCCCTGGTCAAAAAGTGGGGGATATAATACCCCCACCCCCCCCCCCCCCCCCCCCAAATGCACGGTTCTTAACTTTATTGAGTGTACAAGATACTGATTATTGAGAAATGAAATAAGTTTTTGCTTTTAAAATAAAAAAACAATGGTTTTGCTCAGAAAACAAAATGACTTAAGTGCTCAAGAATTACATCACCGACCTACTAGATTGTCACGTGTAGTCCTTGGGACGAGGCTTTTTTTTCGCTCGCCACGCGGTCTGGTTCGCCGAATTTTATAAAACTTCCCAGACATGTAGATTATGGTGTATCATATCGAAAAAACTTTGTGCCCCGATTCACACTTTGTTTGGGAATGAGAAAATCTGGCATAAAAACGTCGAAAATTCTACATGAGAAAAAAAAAATCAGAAACAGCGCCCTCTATTGACATAGTCAGAAACCTTTTCTCACACAATGGCCGTACGAGTTCGGGCGGTCTGTTCTCGACGCGAGTATTTTTATTATTCTCGCACTCGAACGGCGCGGCGGAAACTCGACCCACCAACACTGCACTTAGAATAGGATCTCACACCACCGTACATGACCTAAGTATGCCTGAAATTAAAAAAAATGTTATAATTTGATGCAGCCTCAAAAAAAAGAAGAAGAGGCGGGTGGGCCGTTGGGTTTTACTGGTGGTTTTAAGGGAATGGATGGAGCAACAACAAAACATGAATCAATTCTTAAAACAATATTCAAAATAACAAAAACGATTCTCAGCTGAAACAAAATAATAGCAGTTGTAATGCTGCCACTCAACGCTTCCAAATAAAGGAATATAAGTTCTTTTTTCTTAAAAAACGTTTGCAAACAGAAAGTGGGTCCTTCAATTTGCGATGAGACTTTTGACATGTTAGGCCTATATACAACAATTTATGTAATCGGTCTGTGATGTATACATTTTGTCAGTTGAAAATAAACGAGTCAAATGCTCATTCAGTACAGATTGAAAAAACTTATGTCATCTAAATACCATTCTTCTTGTGTGGGTGAAAACTGTGCATATTTCAATTGTCCCCCACAAACACATAAATCAATGAAATTAAATTATATTATATTAAATAAATCACGATTTGTATTTCTTTAGGTAATTACTTAAACCACATTGCGCCTGGAACATGAAAAACAGTATTTGCAGTTATAGCCGTCTTTTTATTTCTGAGTCATTTTTTTATATATAAAATTGTAATCAAAAATAAAAATCAACCTAAGTACATTGATTGTAGTGTATGAGAACACGAGATGTAATTTTTGAGTGGTTTTGTAATAAGACGCTTCGACTTATCTGGTATACATGCATATAATCCCTTTTTAAAATTCTGCGTCACTGCTATTGAAAAGGGGGAAAAATCTGTTAAAACAATTTCATTTATGGATTTTCGACAAATCCCAACCCCCCCCCAAAAAAAGAAGGGGGGAGCAGAACTGAGAGATATTCCCCTGAGATTCTCATCTAGGTATACGGTTTAACTATACCAATCAATTTTTATTTGGCTAATACATAACATTCGATCTTAAAACTTTAAGTGCATTGATCATTTCAAGTTGGACAACCTGTTATAAAAAGGGTTTGTCATCGTGATGAGAAATAATAACACAAATCTAGAATATGCATGTATTATGAAACTTGAAAGAAGTATAGATTTTCCCGGCTATTTTTAAACATTTTTCATTCAAATTCACAAACTCTAACATTCAATTTCGCCCGAGAAAAATTTCACACGCTTATAACAAAACTAATTAGTCATTTACCATTCAATTTCAAAGTTTGGTCAACGTCTTTAGTCACCGTCTAAGCTGTTGCCGAATGGCAGCATTCAGTGATCAAATTCGTCTCATATACATGTAAATCAATTAGACGAATTTAATTTCTGAATGACAAGGTTTGGCGTAGACGAGACGAAATTGAATACTCCGTGACGAAAACGTGTGTTCATCGTTTGAATTTGCTTGAACTGAATTTGAAATTGTCTGACAACAGACGAAATGAAACATTGAGAGTGCACTAAATCAATGTTGATGGACACATTTGAATATTAGAAATAAACGATAAACGTTTTAAAATAGGAGGGAAAAGTTATATTATCTGGCAAGCACTCATTGCGTGCGAAAAGGGTTCTGACTGTGTCAATAGAGGGCGCTATTTCTTACTTTTTTTCTCATGCAAAATTGTCGGCGTTTTTAGCCCAGATTTTCTCATTCTCAAACAAACTGTGGATTGGGGAACAAAGTTTTTTTCGATATGGTACATCATAAACTACATGTCTGGAAAGTTTTTAAAAATTTGGCGGACAAGATCGCGTATCTCGAAAACTAAAGCGTTTTCAGGATCTCGTCCCACGGACTAGGGCCCTCAAGCGGGGGGGGGGGGGGGGGGGGGGGGGCCCTAGCACCAGTGGCGCACCCAGAATTTGGCTGGGGGGGGGGGGGGCTTAAAAAAGTTCAAAAATTGGGTTTTTTTTCGGGGGGCGTACTATTTTGACGTTGCTGGCGCCACTTACACTCCTATTATATTTCTCGAAAATGGGCCACGTATATGTCACCAAGGTCAAATCGTGTTACTAAAATAAAGAAAAAAATTAAAAATATAGACAAAAAAATTACCGAAAAAAAATTGACCACCTCTTTGGGGCGGAGGGGGGGGGGGTTCAAGCCCCCTGAACGCCCCCCCCCCCTTTGGGTGCGCCACTGCCCAGCACTCGCATGAGTCCTTCTCGGGAAATACCACTTCGCTGTAATGTTATCCTTGCTGTGAACATTTCACAGAATAGAAACAATTCTCCTAGAGCTGTGCGTCCTCTTTCCAAATGTCAGACATGCCATTGAGAAATTATTACCTTCCAGCTTGCCCCCAAAAATTACAACTATCTTTAAATACGCATAAACTGACATTATGAGAAGTCTATGGAAATGTTAATGACGGTTTAATACTGGTTGATCAGTAGCAGGGCAATCCTGTCTATTCCTTCATACATCGGCAGGGCTGATGTCAATGCCCGGTTCCACCCGTCTCAGTAGGGGTAAGATGAGCAGTTGTGCAGCACAGATGAAGTACACTGCGCTACCCACGTAGAAGACTGTCTGATAGCTATCACCGGTCAGGTCCAGAATCCATCCTACGAGTGGTGAAATATAAAGACAATTATTTAAACAAGGACATATAGAATCTCAATTTTTTTTAGAAGGCTCCAAACTCACGAACAATAATCTTCAAACTCACCCGCTAAAAGGGGCCCAAGTATAACTCCAATGCCCGAGAATATCTGGAAGAGTCCAACTCCAACAGCTAATTTCCTCACCCCGACAAATTGACGGGTTAAAACGATCACGATGGCGTAAAAGAACCCCGTCGCAAATCCATGTAGAAACGAAGCTATCGCAAAAATGTAATAGCTTTCAAAATTCAGGAGAAGTACGGAAGACCCAGCAAGAGCCATTAAGATGGCGGTCACGTGCTCGGCCGATAGTTTCCAGCTCACCAGCAACCCATTTCCAAGACGACCAAGCAAGCTTCCGACACCCAAAATACTGAGCAAGATTGCGGCGCTGGAGGGCGCCACACCCACGCTCTGCGCGCGGGGAACCAGGTAAAGGGCGAGCCCCATGTACGCGATGTTGAATTCCACCTGGATGACGCACAGCAGGAAGAAGCGGTAGCTTTTTACAAAAAGATGAAAACCCAGTGAGGATGCTAATCTCTTGAGTAATTTCAGAATGGGATTTGAGTTCTTGCTGTCGGTTGTGAGCGATACATAACCCGTGCTGCTGTTGGGAGTTTTGTCGGGTTCTGCAGGTAGACCTGTTTGAAGTACATCGTCACTATGGCGATAGTTTTCTTCGCTATTCTGGTCATCATTGGACATGTCCCCTGTCTCCTTCACTGCAAGGTGTTGGTGTTTCGAATGAAGATTCCCTCCGGACTTTCGTGTGGCTCGAATTGGGCGGAAAAGGGCGCTTAGTGTGACAATGTTTGCAGCAATTGCAGAGGCGATCAGAAACGTTCCTCGCCAACCGAAGTTTTCCAAAAGAAATTGAAAAATAGGCGGAGTCGCCATCATGCCCATTCCATTGCCCGAAATGGCTATCGCATGAGCTATTTTGTATTTCTTTTTGAAGTAAATCGCGACGGCAACCACAGCTGAACTATAGCCAATCCCAATTCCTGCTCCTATTATATGAAACGAACACACACAAAGAAAAAAACAAACAATACATTTAAATGAAAATCTGTAAGCATCTGATTAATCAAACAAACGTGTCTGTAGTTAACTTGAAAATTGCATTTCACAGTAGTAGTGCATGAACATTCAAAGCGTGTTCTCGCTGGTCGGCGTTTTTTTTTTATCATCCTATATTACAAGATCCTACGTACGGTGTCTGACTGATGGCCGTGTGTCACTTTTTGGGTAAAAGGCGCGGCCTAGCGAGAGTGAGGAACCACAAATACAAAATGGTTAATGGAGCGGTTTAGTTGTCTAAACGATTAAGTAGTTTGAAGTTCATACTTTGTATGCACTGAACTGAGCTTGACGATAAAGATTTTGAATCAGAGGTTGACATTTTTCACTTTCGTCAACAAAGAAGGTAAGTGAAAGTGAATTACCAATTATGGAAACTGTAATATAGAGCTGGTATATGTCAGTCACCCAGTAACTACAGAGAAGACCAATAAATGTCAAAATTCCTCCGACCATTCCGGAGACTCTGCATCCGAAACGTTCCGTCAGAACCCCTGCAGGAAGACCTTGAAAGACATTGAACGAGAAAAAAAGGGAAGATGTAAATAACAGAACTAGGCTAATAACATGGCTGCCTCGCTGCAAGTAACATGGTTGATATGCCTTTCCCGGGCAATCTGGACTACTAGAGTGCAAAATTACCATACCACTAAAGCATGACATTGAAGAAAAGATGCTCTGAACGGCCGCAGTCTCTTTGTCGTTGGTGTCGAAATCTTCCTTCCAGCTCAGGTACATGACGCCTCCGCTCTGAAGAAGACCATACTGGATGACGAGGGACAGGTGAGCGGCGATGACCACCACGATACCCCAGCCGCCTTCCTTTGGAGAATCGGGCTGAGCCTCTGCTCCACGCCTGGTCCGCAAGGTGGAAATCTTTGCCATAATTATTTTACAGTAAGTCCGGGGAAGGGTTTATTATAATGTCGAATGCAAGGTTGAAGTCAGTGTTATTTGAAAGGCGGTGTTTATGTTGAAACATGCAGTGGCACTGAAACGTTGGCAGCAACGTTTATATACACTTTCAAGTTCGGCTTCAACTGATACGTACTGTATTAAACTACATGTAGGCATGAGTTCAAATGATATGATTAAACTATGCATATTTAACATCTAGCACTTACAAAACTTTGAACTTTGAGCCGTTTTGTCACAGCGAGGACAATGCTGGCCAAATACCTCGATTTGCCCCAGTCGCTTGAGACATTGTTTATTTGCATGAGTTCATATGATATGATTAAACTATGCATATATAATATCTAGCACTTACAAAACTTTGAACTTTGAGCCGTTTTGTTACAGCAAGGACAATGCTGGCCAAATATCTCGATTTGCCCCAGTCGCTTGAGACTTTGTTTATTTGCAGAGCTTTGGTCGTTCTTACACTATCCAAGGGGGGCTGGAACTCTGATTCGTTACATTTTGTTCAACCTTTGAACTATGTAAAAAAAAAAAAAAAAGCTTTGTGTGCGCAGGATGCGTGTGTACAATATGTTTTTTTAAAATTTATTTCTTATCTATTTGTTTTTACATGTGTTACACAAGGTGCTCCTAACAGTTTAAAACTGGCTTCTATTGTGAGGCCCGGCATTAATTTCAAATGACCACGCGCATGTACAAATGAAATAGTGGCGGGAATCTGTCCTGGCCAAACCTAAGCTCGTTGTGTCCAAGTTTGACACCTATTAGAGTGTAGCTGATCTTCCCGAACCGGTCATTTTTATGGGGGGGGGGGGGTAACATTTTTTGAAAAGGGCACTTGTACATCCGTTGTGAAATGTAGACATGCTTTTTTCCGCACAATTGGCCTCCGTAAAATCAAAAAGCGGGGGGGGGGGGGGGCTGGTACCATCTGTCGATGGGGGCGCTGTTCAAAACAATTATGCACACAAAGGGCCAATATATGGTGCTTTTTAGGGCGATACATGTGCGAAATTCTGAAAAAGGCACCCAAAACGGCAGATGCCACAAAAAAGAGCACTTATTTTTTTGGAAAAGGGCACTTGTTCAGAAAAAAGGGCACTTCGTAAAAACAAAAGGGGACTCTTTACAAATTATTGGGTGGGGGGGGGGGGGGGGGGGGGGGGGTAAGCCCGTTGAAAAAGGGCATTTGAATGGAAAATGGCAGTCTTTACAAAATATTTGGGGGGGGGGGGGATGTAAATACCCCCCTTACCCGATGCAGCGTAGTATAAACGAGTCCTGTTTATTACGTCACGATTTACTATGTTTTGTTTGCTGCCCCCAACGACGACCTTTACACAAATTGCACGTTCGGGTCGAAACAGGACCTGGAAAACAGCTCTCACAAGTACCTTTTGTACTCATTTCATGACAGACACAATGTTCGCTTTTATTTCATTACACCTTAGGCTACATATACCCGAAAAATGACGGAGAAATGTCTTCGAGCATTCCACAACCTCTTTAAACAATAGAGGGTAATAGGGTCCCCAATTCCCGAGAGGTCCCAAATTTACGATCGTGTACAAAACATATGGGACTCCCAATTGGGAGGTCTTCCTAAAAACTTAAAATACAAACAAAAGAGGGACAAAGGGGGGGGGGGGTCCCTGTTTGCAGGCAAATACACACCTGTATGTGGATGTACAAGCATTAGGCAAAATAAAAAAGACTCCGGTTTCTGGTATGCGCGCTTCGCCGTAGCCATGCGCGTCGGCAAAATGAAAAAGGTTTTTTTTCAATAAAAGATGATGTCTCAAAACCGCCAAACTCACTGGTTTGACTGGAATCCTGCTGCTGCACAATTTTAACGTGTTTTCAGATTGGGTTATGGTTGAGAATAAGCTTTAAGTGGCCTCTCTGGACTCCCATATTTTGCACTAAGTTTAGTCGGGCACCATTTGCAGTCATCAGCCGACTTTGAAGCAAAAAGATCAGGTAAAAAAAAAAAAAAGCCGCGTCGCCGCACCACTTTTTGGGCAAGCTCCATACCAGAAACCGGAGACTTTTTTTTGGGCCTAACACTGTGTGGACTTCCGAACAAAAGAGGTCCAGATAAACCAGGTAGCAGCGACGTTGTGTGGACTTGCCCACGTCCACACAGTGTTTCCCCCTCTCTGGAAAACAGGTTTAGAGGCATTTTTGGGTAATAAGTTTAAGTGTGGCAAATGAAGAGCAACACTGTAGGGAATCATAGGGGAAAACATGGGTTGAAAGAGTTATCACTCGTGTGAGTAAAATGATTTTTTCACAGGTTTTTCTTAACTACACGGAAACAAAAGAATGTCCACACTACGTATGTAACGTAAACATGTATGTTTGGGGGTGTGGGTGGGGTGGGGGGGGGCATTGGGAATTCGGGGGGGGGGTCCCCCTTGGCTACGCCACTGCTCCCGACTATTGGCCGAGACCTTCATAACAAGGGTCGATCACAAAAGCCTACGTGCATTATTTATACGTATGTTCTACACAAAAAATCCTCAGATAGGAAATCTATTCGATTTAATGAGCATACTAATTCGAATTATACAAACTAAATCGAATCAAAGCGTGTATTGAAGTGCCGACAAATCAAATTGTGTGAATTATTTGCGGCCGGCAAATATAGTCGGATTTTTGTGTGTGTGCACTTGGGACCAAGGGAGCGCTGGCAAGAACTAAAAGAAATCAGCCCATTATATTATATTGCTTTATAATTTCGAATGATTGACTGTCAGACAATAATGCTGTTCTCGCGAGGTAGGCTGGTTCCCGCCCCACAATCAGTGTCGACAATATTCGTGCCGGCAGCCAGTCTGCTCGCGAAGCGGATCTTTATGCGTCCAAAGCAAAACCTATTTTAAGAGAGTTGCAAATGTCCAACAACAAAAAGAAGGGAAAAACAGGTTTTCTTGGTTGGAATGCAGCATTAAATTGAAAAGTTTTTGTTAGAAAAAAAAATAAATCGAAACTTTTACATAATAGCAGGGGCAGGGGGAACGCACTTTTAAGGTATATATAAGACCTTATTTTAGATGACCGGAAATGCATATATACACCTTTAAAGGTATTTTACATCATTTGCAGCTATCCAAAAGGTACGTAACTTACCGAATTATTGTTGAAAAACTGAACTTGGTTTAAAGATAGTAATTGCACTAAACTCGCTGTGAAATTAATCCTTCAGGCATGCTGTCATTTGAAGAAAACAATAAAAGAAGGTCATTTCCAAAGATGGTCGAAATGCGCATTAATTTTTTTTGGTGGAAATGTCCATTAGTCGTACGTTTTTTAACTCGTCAAAGCCGTGAATGGGTGCTCGCAAGGGCACAACGCACACACAAACACACGCGGTTGCTATTACTCGTCAGATTGCGTGACATCGCGTAGCTGCAATCGGCTGAATAAGAACGTGTCCCGGGCGCTGATTTCGGGCGCAATTCAAAACATGACTCGGCAACCCTTGAATTGAAATCGAGATCCTATCAATATTTTTTTCTCGAAATTTACAGCATTTACTGAGTTAATTTTCATCAGGTTAGTTATTAAGTATCCGTCTTTAGATTTTGAGCAAAATGCACAAATGACAAATGATGTCTTTGCAATAAATGGCATTTAAGCACCGAAAGTTTTATATTCTATTTCTCCAGACTGACAGCAAAGTGTACATTCCTGTAATAAAACTGGACATACTTATTGAGAAAGAATGTGCGCTCTGACCAGGTGCGGATATAGTTGATATAAAGGGGGTGTTGAGTTTCTTGGGGGTCGGGGTCCGAGGAGCCTGCGTGCCCCTTGGAACATTTTGAAATCTAACATGATTTCTCCTGCATTCTTAGGCAATTCAAGAATAACTTTCACTTTAGCACTAAAAAATTAAAAAGGTTTGAGTAAACACTTAACCATTCAAAATCAAATCAATTCGCAGGGGGATCGTTGTGGTTTATCAAGCTTGGATTCCACATCTTCAGAAAGTCATTTTTGTAAAGTTTTTAAAAATTCGTTTTCTGTGAAAAAACATAGAGACGAGGACATTGCGGATTGAGCAGAGCACTTAGATCACAATAGATAAATAAGATCGATCTTTTACAATAAGCTTTTAAAAGCCACTGGAAATGTATCGTGCCTGTCAGGCAATCGCGTGTAAAATGCCTTCTTTCTATAAATTCAACTCAAAAGCACGCAAGTGTGAGCCAACTCGTCATACCTATTGTCTGGCTTGCTGAAGCTTTTACCACATTGAATTGTCAGCACCACCGTGAGGAACCTGAAGAAGACATTTTCGACGGCTTGCCGCGTAAAAAGAATCAATTTACTCAATGTTTTGTGAAGTGGTCTTGGGGGAGTCCTTCCGAAATATGGCAGATATCAGATCCAATCAGAGTTTTTGTTCTTTTCTGCACGGATGACGCGAAGAGTTGCATTGAGTGGAAAAGGCCGCCCTTCGTGGACGCGTTTTAGTATGTTTTCTGTTCGTTGGGGGCGGATCCGGGGTTACGCTGGGGGCGAACAGAAAAGGCACCTCTTATTACGAGCACCTCTTAATGAGCAAAACCTAATACAAGGACCTCTTAGTACGAGTACCAATTGTTACGAACACCTCTTAGTACGAGCAAAACTTACATGTATGAATATCTAGCTATCAACAAACACTACGATATGGACCCCCCACACATCCAAGATATGCCTTAGGTTTGATAGGTTTCGGTAAACTTTGGATTAAAACGGATCGGGTCATACAGTGTATTTGGGATTTAGCGTGATTGTTTTTATTTGGGGAGGGGACATGAAATAGGCAAAGTATATTTTGGTCGAATGTAAAGATTTGGACTTTGTTGGGTTGTGACGTCATGACATTATTATAAGCCGACGACTCGTCGACAAAGGACGACTTTCCACGAAACGGAAGACAGACGGCCAAGCTTCCTTCCCGACGAAGCGGGCCATGCCGGAAGCCTCATATATAATAATTATTATTCAAACCAAAAAAGTGACTGGACACGGTTTAAAAAAGACACGATGTAATAAAGATTGAATACAACAAAGATCCTATATTTATTTAAAACTGGCTTGCTGTAGATTAAAAATATCCCGAGCCCTCCGTTTCATTGATCTTTTTGACC